ACTTATCATATCAGTCTTGCATATGTTCCTGTTTCATAATAAAAATTGTCAGATACGTATGCTATTTAAACTTGCGTCTCTTGTCTGAACCTCGTCATGTGCTCTTTTACTCTTTCAATCTATTCCGTAGATTATTTTGCATATAGACTTAATACAAAAATCACCAGCGCTTCGGCCCATACATTACATGTTGTGCAGGTATATGACAAGAAAATATCGGTTGTTTTTGTAGTGAAACCTGGATGCCGAGCAGCCCCACAAGCGACAAGCGGCTAATCACCTGCATGTAAGAAAGGTGCACAATTTTCAGGTCTTTCATTCTCATACCAAAAGCATTCAAATACGAACAAAACCGCCGTGCTCCCCCTCCCACCCCCGTATCAAAACAGATCGGAATTCAAGAAAACCTACGTAACGTACTTAAGGTTTGAGATTAACCTGCTGCTGTTTAATTATTAGTGACTACTTTTTGTGCTGCCAGTTCGACACTTGTCTAATTATTTTTTATGCTGTTTATTAATTGTAATATATTCCAATAATATTTTGTGATTTTTGTAGACTACCTTCGGTCGCAAAGCATGCATCGATCAAGAAAAGCAGTGCAGCTCCGAGCTTCACTTACGGAAGCCAGTCGGCGGTCACTGTTGTTCCGCACTCGGAAAGCCACGGTCTCGCGAACGAACGGCAGCGGAGCGAGCAGAAGGAGGAACATTCCAGTAAGTTTTTTTTGTTTCAGGTTTCGCATCTCTTGACCATACTTCATATTGCCTTCCTGCCATTGATTTTCTGTAAAGGGTGTCTAGCTTTTTATACTTACACGGTTGTGTGAGACGTTTTCTTTGGACCAGAGGGACATTAATTAGACTTAGTGCACGAGAGAGTAAACGGCCGTGGGGACACCTACAGATCGGTGATAAGATCAGCTGAAGAAATTTGTTGGAGGGATGTGGATAAGGACTACAGGGGAGAGAATTTTAAGGCCAAATCTTGCAGAGGCCCTTTTTAGTAAGAGAGACGATAAAGGTTGATGACGATGACGATGTAGGATGTTTGGTTTTCTGGTTCTCTGCTTGGCAGGACGAGAAAGAAGAAAATCATTTTTTCCTGATAGAAAATCTTCCCTGATGATGTCCCTGCCAACGCGGTCGAAACGCTGGAATTCCTGAAAGCAAACAGTTTTCTTGTTTCTCGTGCTACCAGCCATGGAACCAGAAGACTTCATCTTAAAGTCATCTACGGCACGGTATCGGTATCGGCTTTAGAAATTATTGATTAATGACGGTGTTACCTCATTTTTATTGTTTAAGTTTTCGCGCGGCACAAGGTTTGTATGCTGTTGATTTCTCCTGAAAATCATATAATCCTGCCAGTATCAGCTCCAAGGGGCAACCAGCCCCTTCACTCATCAACGTTAGTATTTATCAGTGCGTAATGGTAAGCATTTTCTCACAAGACTTCCAAGGCAACAAGTCCAAGCTATGTCGCACAACGCTGGTTCCGGAGTCGTAAAGTCTGCT